AACTTCTGTAACTACTGGGAGCTGTACTTTCTGAGCAACTAGAGCTTAATAAACTTGGTGAAATTGGAATGCAGGCAGAAGAAAGGCTTGAGACTGAACCTGCAGAAAATGGTTACGTTAAATATTTCAGAGGCATTAAATGTGACTGACAATTCAGAATAGATTATCATTGTCAAAAGTGCTTGTTTAAGATATATATGATTTATCATTTACTTATTATTTTTCATTTTCATATATCACCTAAAATATAAAAATGTAACCTAAATATTTAGTCTAAATAACTGAAAAAGATAATGTTAAACTATACATGAAAAAACAAGTTTTAGTAAAAAATATGTATTTTCAATTACATATTTATATGTACAGAAATGAGAATTGTGCTCTAAGAATGAATTCTAAGCAATATACTATACATACTATATGGCATAACTACAAGATTTATTACTAGTATTTACTTTTTATGCTGACACTCGAAGAACAAGATAAGGATGAGATGCTGGATCTGCTTGCTTCTAATTCCACTGAATTGACATAGCTTGAACTCTCAGAACTGAATAAACTCAAACTGCTGGAACAACTGAAACTCTGGCTACTTGAACAACTGTAGAATGAGACACTTGAGCTGCTAGACATTGATATGCTAGAACAGCTAAGGCTTGTCCCACTTGAAACTGAACCTGGAGTTTAAAAAGAAAACAAAAATGATCAAACCATATTTAACTCTAGTTGAAAGATTAGAATCCTAACTGGAGAACCATCTGGCTTGCAAATAATGACAGTGAAGGAGAATACAGCTGAAGACCATGATTTGTGCTTCAGTATGGTACGATAAATCAGGGGATTTTTTACTAATGCATAAATATAACATCTGCACTTTGCATTTAAGGATATAAGTGAACTTTACTTGTGATGGCACTTGATGAGGAGGAGAGAGGTATAATACTAGAAATGCTACTTGATTCTAAGCTTGAATGACTCTCTAAGCTGCTGATGGAGCTTGGAGTGATAGGCAGAATAAGGCTTGAACTGATACTACTGAAGATTGAGAAACTTGGGATTCTGAAGCTTGTAGAGGTTGAGTTATTTGAACCACTGGAGCATGGAAGAGCTGAATAACTTGGACTTAGAGTGGGAATGCCTGAAGCGGAACCTAAAGGAAAATTATAAGTCAAAAGTTTGCAACCCAACCATTACTATTCCAGTATAAAAAGAAAAAAAAACATATTTACAGAGATAAAAATGAGCATTACTTTCCCAGCACAGTTAAAAAGACAACATTCCATATTAAATGACTTTCCACTTTAGGCAAAGTATCAGAATTGTTTTGAAAGATATCTAACATAATCAAGAATGCACTGACAGTCAACCATGTATATGTTAAATAAGAGTTATACAAGATGAAAAGGATGAAAATGACTGAGAGACACTTGAGCTAATGGTGCACCTAGAGAATGAACTATTTGAATAACAGAAGAAATTAATAACTTAAACTAAGATTCACCAGAAGCTAAACCAAAAGAAAATGCTAACTTTCACAGTATTAAAAAGGAGTTATGCACCTGCGATTTGTACATCTCAATGCAAATATAGTTTTCACATATACTTGATATTCATACTCAGAATAACACAAGGATTTAACTACAACTATTCAATTGATATTTACTTTTTATGCTAACACTTGAAGAACAAGATAGGGATGTGATGCTGGATCTGCTGTCTGATCTTGTCTCCAAGTCCTTTGAACTGACACAGTTCGAACTTTCAGAACTGAATAAACTTAAACTACTGGAACTACTGAAACTTTGGCTACTTGAGCAACTGTAGAATGAGATACTTGAGCTGCTAGACTCTGATATGCTAGAACAGCTATGGCTAACACTTGGGCCACTGGAAACTGAACCTAAAGATAGAAAATAAATTCAAAATTCAAGGTATACATCAAGGACCAGCTTGAACTGCTAATCAAAATATTATATACTACATATAGAAAGGAATGCAATACCCCTGAAAGTTGAGCAGTATGTTAAATGCAAAATATTTCTCGCTAATAAGTGATTACAAAAATGGGAAATACAAAAGAATAATAAATCAAGACTAATAAATTTTTACTACTCAATTGGTACCACTTTTTAAATCATAAAAATAAAAATGAGCATTACTTGATCTCAAACTACTCTCTAAGCTGCTGATAGAGCTTGGAGTGATAGGTGGAATGAAGCTTGAACTTATGCTACTGAAGATTGAGAAACTTGGGCTTGTGTAGGTTCTAGGAATTGAGTTATTTGAACCACTGGAGCATGGAAAGGCTGAACAACTTCGACTAAGACTGGGAATGTCTGAAGTAGAACCTAAAGGAAAATTTGAAAAAAAAGAAAGTTGACAAACCTACAATTATTGCTTTAGTAACAAATGTTTTTATATATTTCCCAAAATGAAAATTAACATAATTTTCTAAAGACTGTCAGGCTATGTTATAGCCTTACCATTATATTATTAGAAATGCCAAATGATACAGAAACGATTAAGTAAAACTAAACAACTGTTTACTTTTTATGCTGACACTTGAAGAACAAGATAGGGACGAGATACTCAATCTGCTGCCTGATCTTGGTTCTAAATAATCTGAACTGATGCAGCTTGAACTGAATAAACTCAAGCTACTGGAACAACTGATACTTGAACAACTGTAGAATGAGGTACTTGAGCTGCTACACTCTGATATACTAGAACAGGTAGAGCCAATACTTGAAACTGAACCTGAAGATGAAAAAGTAATTCAAAATACTAATATGTTTAAACTGCTGAGGCCTTAATCACAAATCAGAATATATTTAATAGATTGGAAACAACCTCCAGTTATATAAAATAAGAAGAGTTATACACAATGGTGTGTGCTTCACTAAATTGCTATGATAAATAAGTATATTCTATTAATGTGAAATTTTTATTCACAAGATGAAAATTAATATTACTTGTAATGGCACTTGAAGAGGAGGATGGAGGTAAACTACTGGCAACACTACTTAGTTCTTGGCTCAAACTACTCTCTAAGCTGCTGATAGAGCTTGGAGTGATAGGTGGAATGAGGCTTGAACTTATACTACTGAAGACGGAGAAACTTGGGCTTGTGAAGCTGCTAGATATTACATTATTTGAACTACTGGAGCATGGAAGGGCTGAATAAGTTGGACTCAGACTGGAAAGATGTGAAGCTGAACCTAAAAAGATGATTGAAATCAAAAAGCTATGATAAAAAAAGTTCACAAACCTACATGTAGGACATTTAAATGGAGAATATATTCTAAGATCAAATGATTCAGATGTCATGATATTACTATGACAAATGAACTTTTACATTTTATGCTGACACTTGAAGAACAAGAGAGGGAGGAGATGCTGGATTCGCTGTCTGATCTTGATCCTTGTTCTTCTGAACTCACAGAACTGAATAAACTCAAACTACTGGAACTACTGAAACTCTCGCTACTTAAGCAACTGTAGAATGAGATACTTGAGCTGCTAGACTCTGATATGCTACAACAGCTAGAGATAATACTTGATCCGCTCAAAACTGAACCTGAAGATGGAGAATAGATTCAACAATGCTAGTACATATCAAGGACTTCATGTATCTATACACTCATACACTAGAAAAGCAAAATGATTCAACTACAACTTTACAACAAATATTTACTTTTTATGTTGACACTTGAAGAACAAGATAGGGATGAGATACTGGGTTTGCTGTCTGATCTTGGTTCTAAGTCCCCTGAACTGATCAAGCTTGAACTCAGAGGACTAAATAAACTCAAACTACTGGAACTACTGAAACTCTGGCTACTTGAGCAACTGTAGAGTGATATACTTGAGCAGCTAGACTCTGATATACTAGAACAGTTAGAGATAATGCTTGATCCACTCGAAATTGAACCTGAAGAAAGGAGAGTAGAGTTCAGGACAATAATTTCAGTTTCACTAAATAAACTTAATAAATCAAGAAATTTCTGACTGTTGTGTTGGTGTCACCTTTATAATCACAAAGTGAAGGAACATTACTTGTAATAGCCCCTGAAGAGGAAGATGGAGGTAAACTACTTGATTCCGAGCTCAAACTACTCTTTAAGCTGCTGATAGAGCTTGGAGTGATAGGTGGAATGAGGCTTGAACTTATACTACTGAAGATGGAGAAACTTGGGCTTGTGAAGCTGCTAGATATTGCATTATTTGAACAACTGGAGCATGGAAGGGCTGAATAATTTGGACTCAGACTGGAAATACCTGAAGCTGAACCTAAAAGAATGATTGAAATCAAAAAGCTATGACAAAAAAGTTCACAAACCTACAAATAGGACATTTTAATGTGATAATATTATCAAATTCTAAGATCAAATGATTCAGATGTCATGATATAACTATGACAAATGAACTTTTACATTTTATGCTGACACTTGAAGAACAAGAGAGGGAGGAGATGCTGGATTCGCTGTCTGATCTTGATCCTTGTTCTTCTGAACTCACAGAACTGAATAAACTCAAACTACTGGAACTACTGAAACTCTCGTTACTTAAGCAACTGTAGAATGAGATACTTGAGCTGCTAGACTCTGATATGCTAGAACAGCTAGAGATAATACTTGATCCACTCGAAACTGAACCTGAAGATGGAGAATAGATTCAACAATGCTAGTACATATCAAGAACTTTATGTATCTATACACTCATACACTAGAAAAGCAAAATGATTCAACTACAACTTTACAACAAATATTTACTTTTTATGTTGACACTTGAAGAACAAGATAGGGATGAGATGCTGGGTTTGCTGTCTGATCTTGGTTCTAAGTCCCCTGAACTGATCAAGCTTGAACTCAGAGGACTAAATAAACTCAAACTACTGGAACTACTGAAACTCTGGCTACTTGAGCAACTGTAGAGTGATATACTTGAGCAGCTAGACTCTGATATACTAGAACAGTTAGAGCTAATACTTGATCCACTCGAAATTGAACCTGAAGAAAGATAGTCAATTCAAAAGTGTCAGTATGTATCATGTAGTTTCAAACCACAAATCCAAATGTATCTATTTCATTTGGAATACATTTCAAATCAAGAAAGTGTCTCTCAGGCACTGAAAAGTGTACTCAAATTTAGAACAGAAACTATAAGCTGGGTAACAAATGATGAAAAAGAAAGGGAGAGTACAGTTCACAACAATAATTTCAGTTTCACTAAATAAACTTAATAAATCAAGAAATTTCTGACTGTTGTGTTGGTGTCACCTTTACAATCACAAAGTAAAGGAACATTACTTGTAATAGCCCCTGAAGAGGAAGATGGAGGTAAACTACTTGATTCCGAGCTCAAACTACTCTCTAAGCTGCTGATAGAGCTTGGAGTGATAGGTGGAATGAGGCTTGAACTTATACTACTGAAGATGGAGAAACTTGGGCTTGTGAAGCTGCTAGATATTGCATTATTTGAACTACTGGAGCATGGAAGGGCTGAATAACTTGGACTCAGACTGGAAATATGTGAAGCTGAACCTAAAAGAATGATTGAAATCAAAAAGCTATGATAAAAAAAAGTTCATAAACCTACAAATAGGACATTTCAATGTGATAATATTATCAAATTCTAAGATCAAATGATTCAGATGTCATGATATAACTATGACAAATGAACTTTTACATTTTATGCTGACACTTGAAGAACAAGAGAGGGAGGAGATGCTGGATTCGCTGTCTGATCTTGATCCTTGTTCTTCTGAACTCACAGAACTGAATAAACTCAAACTACTGGAACTACTGAAACTCTCGCTACTTAAGCAACTGTAGAATGAGATACTTGAGCTGCTAGACTCTGATATGCTAGAACAGCTAGAGATAATACTTGATCCACTCGAAACTGAACCTGAAGATGGAGAATAGATTCAACAATGCTAGTACATATCAAGGACTTCATGTATCTATACACTCATACACTAGAAAAGCAAAATGATTCAACTACAACTTTACAACAAATATTTACTTTTTATGTTGACACTTGAAGAACAAGATAGGGATGAGATGCTGGGTTTGCTGTCTGATCTTGGTTCTAAGTTCCCTGAACTGATGAAGCTTGAACTCGGAGGACTAAATAAACTCAAACTACTGGAACTATTGAAACTCTGGCTACTTGAGCAACTGTAGAGTGATATACTTGAGCAGCTAGACCCTGATATACTAGAACAGTTAGAGCTAATACTTGATCCACTTGAAATTGAACCTGAAGAAAGATAGTCAATTCAAAAGTTTCAGTATGTATCATGTACCTAGTTTCAAACCACAAATCCAAATGTATTTATTTCATTTGGAATACATTTCAAATCAAGAAAGTGTCTCTCAGGCACTGAAAAGTGTACTCAAATTTAGAACAGAAACTATTAGCTGGGTAACAAATGATGAAAAAGAAAGGGAGAGTACAGTTCAGGACAATAATTTCAGTTTCACTAAATAAACTTAATAAATCAAGAAATTTCTGACTGTTGTGTTGGTGTCACCTTTATAATCACAAAGTAAAGGAACATTACTTGTAATAGCCCCTGAAGAGGAAGATGGAGGTAAACTACTTGATTCCGAGCTCAAACTACTCTCTAAGCTGCTGATAGAGCTTGGAGTGATAGGTGGAATGAGGCTTGAACTTATACTACTGAAGATGGAGAAACTTGGGCTTGTGAAGCTGCTAGATATTGCATTATTTGAACAACTGGAGCATGGAAGGGCTGAATAACTTGGACTCAGACTGGAAATAGGTGAAGCTGAACCTAAAAGAATGATTGAAATCAAAAAGCTATGATAAAAAAAAGTTCACAAACCTACAAATAGGACATTTCAATGTGATAATATTATCAAATTCTAAGATCAAATGATTCAGATGTCATGATATAACTATGACAAATGAACTTTTACATTTTATGCTGACACTTGAAGAACAAGAGAGGGAGGAGATGCTGGATTCGCTGTCTGATCTTGATCCTTGTTCTTCTGAACTCACAGAACTGAATAAACTCAAACTACTGGAACTACTGAAACTCTCGCTACTTAAGCAACTGTAGAATGAGATACTTGAGCTGCTAGACTCTGATATGCTAGAACAGCTAGAGATAATACTTGATCCGCTCAAAACTGAACCTGAAGATGGAGAATAGATTCAACAATGCTAGTACATATCAAGGACTTCATGTATCTATACACTCATACACTAGAAAAGCAAAATGATTCAACTACAACTTTACAACAAATATTTACTTTTTATGTTGACACTTGAAGAACAAGATAGGGATGAGATGCTGGGTTTGCTGTCTGATCTTGGTTCTAAGTCCCCTGAACTGATGAAGCTTGAACTCAGAGGACTAAATAAACTCAAACTACTGGAACTACTGAAACTTTGGCTACTTGAGCAACTGTAGAGTGATATACTTGAGCAGCTAGACTCTGATATACTAGAACAGTTAGAGCTAATACTTGATCCACTCGAAACTGAACCTGAAGAAAGAGTTCAAAATTCTAGTATGCATCAAATACCAATGCTCAAACTACAAATTGAAATGTATATACTTCACTGGAATACCTTTCTGATTAAGTAGAGTGGCTCTTAGGTGTTGAAAAGTATAATGCACTTGAATTAAGTATGTAAATTATTATCTGGTTAACAAATGATGAAAAGCAAAGGAAGTTTACATTCAGTTTCACTAAATAGAGGTAAAAATCAAGATATTTGTGACTATAGTGTTGGTATCACCATTTAATTACTGAATATTACTTGTAATAGCCCTTGAAGAGGAAGATGGAGGTACACTACTGGCAATGCTACTTGATTCCGAGCTCAAACTACTCTCTAAGCTGCTGATAGAGCTTGGAGTGATAGGTGGAATGAGGCTTGAACTTATACTACTGAAGATGGAGAAACTTGGGCTTGTGAAGCTGCTAGATATTGATTTGAACCACAGCAGCATGGAAGGGCTGAATAACTTGGACTAAGACTGGAATATGAAGCTGAACCTAAAGGAATGATTGAAATTTAAAGCTACAAAATCAAAAGTTCATAAACCTTCAAGTAGGTACTTTTCAATAAGAAAATATATTCTGAAATTCTGTAAAAAAACTCAACATTTCAGAGCATTAAACAAAATAAATATCAAATGATTCAGATGTAATGGTGCTGAAACGGATGAATGAACATTTACTTTTTTATGCTGAACTTGAAGAACAAGATAGGGATGGGATGCTGATCTGTCCTTGAACTGAGCTTGAACTCATGGAACTGAATAACTCAAACTACTGAACTACTGAAACTTTGGCTACTTGAGCATTGTAAATGAGATACTTGAGCTGCTAGACTCTGATATGCTAGAACAGCTAGAGCTAATACTTGATCCACTCGAAATTGAACCTGAAGAAAGATAGTCAATTCAAAAGTGTCAGTATGTATCATGTACCTAGTTTCAAACCACAAATCCAAATGTATTTATTTCATTTGGAATACATTTCAAATCAAGAAAGTGTCTTTCAGCCACTGAAAAGTGTACTCAAATTTAGAACAGAAACTATTAGCTGGGTAACAAATGATGAAAAAAAAGGAAGAGTAGAGTTCAGGACAATAATTTCAGTTTCACTAAATAAACTTAATAAATCAAGAAATTTCTGACTGTTGTGTTGGTGTCACCTTTATAATCACAAAGTGAAGGAACATTACTTGTAATAGCCCCTGAAGAGGAAGATGGAGGTAAACTACTTGATTCCGAGCTCAAACTACTCTCTAAGCTGCTGATAGAGCTTGGAGTGATAGGTGGAATGAGGCTTGAACTTATACTACTGAAGATGGAGAAACTTGGGCTTGTGAAGCTGCTAGATATTGCATTATTTGAACTACTGGAGCATGGAAGGGCTGAATAACTTGGACTCAGACTGGAAATAGGTGAAGCTGAACCTAAAAGAATGATTGAAATCAAAAAGCTATGATAAAAAAGTTCACAAACCTACAAATAGGACATTTCAATGTGATAATATTATCAAATTCTAAGATCAAATGATTCAGATGTCATGATATAACTATGACAAATGAACTTTTACATTTTATGCTGACACTTGAAGAACAAGAAAGGGAGGAGATGCTGGATTCGCTGTCTGATCTTGAACCTTGTTCTTCTGAACTCACAGAACTGAATAAACTCAAACTACTGGAACTACTGAAACTCTCGCTACTTAAGCAACTGTAGAATGAGATACTTGAGCTGCTAGACTCTGATATGCTAGAACAGCTAGAGATAATACTTGATCCACTCGAAACTGAACCTGAAGATGGAGAATAGATTCAACAATGCTAGTACATATCAAGGACTTCATGTATCTATACACTCATACACTAGAAAAGCAAAATGATTCAACTACAACTTTACAACAAATATTTACTTTTTATGTTGACACTTGAAGAACAAGATAGGGATGAGATGCTGGGTTTGCTGTCTGATCTTGGTTCTAAGTTCCCTGAACTGATCAAGCTTGAACTCAGAGGACTAAATAAACTCAAACTACTGGAACTATTGAAACTCTGGCTACTTGAGCAACTGTAGAGTGATATACTTGAGCAGCTAGACCCTGATATACTAGAACAGTTAGAGCTAATACTTGATCCACTTGAAATTGAACCTGAAGAAAGATAGTCAATTCAAAAGTTCAGTATATCATGTACCTAGTTTCAACCACAATCCAAATGTATTTATTTCATTTGGAATAAATTTTAAATCAAGAAAGTGTCTCTCAGGCACTGAAAAGTGTACTCAAATTTAGAACAGAAACTATTAGCTGGGTAAAAATGATGAAAAAGTACAGTTCACAACAATAATTTCAGTTTCACTAAATAAACTTAATAAATCAAGAAATTTCTGACTGTTGTGTTGGTGTCACCTTTATAATCACAAAGTGAAGGAACATTACTTGTAATAGCCCCTGAAGAGGAAGATGGAAGTAAACTACTTGATTCCGAGCTCAAACTACTCTCTAAGCTGCTGATAGAGCTTGGAGTGATAGGTGGAATGAGGCTTGAACTTATACTACTGAAGATGGAGAAACTTGGGCTTGTGAAGCTGCTAGATATTGCATTATTTGAACTACTGGAGCATGGAAGGGCTGAATAACTTGGACTCAGACTGGAAATAGGTGAAGCTGAACCTAAAAGAATGATTGAAATCAAAAAAGCTATGATAAAAAAAGTTCACAAACCTACAAATAGGACATTTCAATGTGATAATATTATCAAATTCTAAAATCAAATGATTCAGATGTCATGATATAACTATGACAAATGAACTTTTACATTTTATGCTGACACTTGAAGAACAAGAGAGGAGGAGATGCTGGATTCGCTGTCTGATCTTGATCCTTGTTCTTCTGAACTCACAGAACTGAATAAACTCAAACTACTGGAACTACTGAAACTCTCGCTACTTAAGCAACTGTAGAATGAGATACTTGAGCTGCTAGACTCTGATATACTAGAACAGCTAGAGCTAATGCTTGATCCACTCGAAATTGAACCTGAAGAAAGATAGTCAATTCAAAAGTGTCAGTATGTATCATGTACCTAGTTTCAAACCACAAATCCAAATGTATTTATTTCATTTGGAATACATTTCAAATCAAGAAAGTGTCTCTCAGGCACTGAAAAGTGTACTCAAATTTAGAACAGAAACTATTAGCTGGGTAACAAATGATGAAAAAGAAAGGGAGAGTACAGTTCACAACAATAATTTCAGTTTCACTAAATAAACTTAATAAATCAAGAAATTTCTGACTGTTGTGTTGGTGTCACCTTTATAATCACAAAGTGAAGGAACATTACTTGTAATAGCCCCTGAAGAGGAAGATGGAGGTAAACTACTTGATTCCGAGCTCAAACTACTCTCTAAGCTGCTGATAGAGCTTGGAGTGATAGGTGGAATGAGGCTTGAACTTATACTACTGAAGATGGAGAAACTTGGGCTTGTGAAGCTGCTAGATATTGCATTATTTGAACTACTGGAGCATGGAAGGGCTGAATAACTTGGACTCAGACTGGAATATGGTGAAGCTGAACCTAAAAGAATGATTGAAATCAAAAAGCTATGATAAAAAAAAGTTCACAAACCTACAAATAGGACATTTCAATGTGATAATATTATCAAATTCTAAGATCAAATGATTCAGATGTCATGATATAACTATGACAAATGAACTTTTACATTTTATGCTGACACTTGAAGAACAAGAAAGGGAGGAGATGCTGGATTCGCTGTCTGATCTTGATCCTTGTTCTTCTGAACTCACAGAACTGAATAAACTCAAACTACTGGAACTACTGAAACTCTCGCTACTTAAGCAACTGTAGAATGAGATACTTGAGCTGCTCGACTCTGATATGCTAGAACAGCTAGAGATAATACTTGATCCGCTCAAAACTGAACCTGAAGATGGAGAATAGATTCAACAATGCTAGTACATATCAAGGACTTCATGTATCTATACACTCATACACTAGAAAAGCAAAATGATTCAACTACAACTTTACAACAAATATTTACTTTTTATGTTGACACTTGAAGAACAAGATAGGGATGAGATGCTGGGTTTGCTATCTGATCTTGGTTCTAAGTCCCCTGAACTGATGAAGCTTGAACTCAGAGGACTAAATAAACTACTGGAACTACTGAAACTTTGGCTACTTGAGCAACTGTACAGTAATATACTTGAGCAGCTACACTTTGATAGACTAGAACAGCTAGAGCTAATACTTGATCCACTTGAAACTGAACCTGAAGAAAAAAAATCAGTTCAAAATTCTAGTGTGCGTCAAGTACTGATGCCCATACCATAAATTGAAAAGTATACACTGCATTAAAATACCTTTTTCAATTAAGTAAAGTGTCTCTTAGGTGTAAAAAAGAATAATGTACTCAAATTAAGTACAGAAACTATTATCTGGGTAATAAAGGATGAAAAGAAAGTATACATATAAAGACACGGTCAGTTTCACTCAATAAGAGGTAATAAATCCAAGATATTTGTGACTATTGTGTTGGTATCTTTTAATTACAAAGAAGAAAAGGAACATTACTTGTAATAGCCTTTGAAGAGGAAGAAGGAGGTACACTACCAGCAATACTACTTGATTCTGAGCTCAAACTACCCTCTAAGCTGCTGATAGAGCTTGGAGTGATAGGTGGAATGAGGCTTGAACTTATACTACTGAAGATTGAGAAACTTGGGCTTGTGGAGCTGCTAGAGATTGAGTTATTTGAACCACTGGAGCATGGAAGGGATGAGTAACTTGTGCTAAGACTGGGAATACCTGAAGCTGAACCTAAAGGAATGATGAAATTGAAAAACTTTGATAAAAAAAAGAAAGTTTACAAACCTACAAATACAACATTTCAGTAAAAAAAATATTCTGAAATTAGATGTAAAAAACAATACATTCTAAAAACATTGACGACACATTATAAGGCAAATATCAAATGAGTCAGATGTAATGGTATAACCGACAGATGAACTTTTACATTTTATGCTGAAACTTGAAGAACAAGATAGAGATGAGATGCTGGATTCACGATTTGATCTTGATCTTTGTTCTCCTGAACTCACAGAACTGAATAAACTCAAACTACTGGAACTACTGAAACTCTGGCTACTTGAGCAACTGTAGAATGAGATACTTGAGCTGCTAGACTCTGATATGCTAGAACAGCTAGGGATAGTACTTGATCCGCTCGAAACTGAACCTGAAGATGGAGAATAGATTCAACAATGCTAGTATGTATCAAGGACTACATATCTATACACTCATACACTGGAGAAGCAAAAGGATAACTGTACAACTAATATTTACTTTTTATGCTGACACTTGAAGAACAATATAGGGATGAGATGCTAGATCTGCTGTCTGAACTTGGTTCTAAGTCCCCTGAACCAATGCAACTTGAACTCAGGGAACTGAATAAACTCAAACTACTGGAACTGCTGAACTTTTGGCTACTTGAGCAACTGTTGAGTGATATACTTGAGCAACTAGAGCTAACACTTGATCCACTTGAAACTGAACCTAAAGGTGAAAAATCAATTCTAAATGCTAGTATGCATCAAGTACCTAGGCTCAAACCAAAAATCTAAAATGTATGTTCATAGGGAATACCTTTTTACTCAACTAGAATGTCTATCAAGTGTTCAAAGGTATACTATTATCCGGGTAATAAATGATCAAAAGGAAAAGGAGAGAACAGTTAAAGACAACATTGTCAGTTTCACTAAATAAATTTAATAAATAAAGATATTTGTGACTATTGGGTTGGTATCACCATTTAATTACAAAGAAGAAAAGGAACATTACTTGTAATAGCACTTGAAGAGGAAGATGGAGGCAAATCACTGGCAATACTACTTGATTCTGAGCTCAAACTACTCTCTAAGCTGCTGATAGAGCTTGGAAAGATAGGTGGAATGAGGCTTGAACTTATACTACTGAAGATGGAGAAACTTGGGCTTGTGAAGCTGCTAGATATTGCATTATTTGAACGACTGGAGCATGGAAGGGCTGAATAACTTGGACTAAGACTGGATATGCGTGAAGCTGAACCTATAAGAATGGTTGAAATTGAAAAGCTATGATATAAAAGAAAGTTCACAAACCTACACATAGGACATTACAAAATGGAAATATTATCTGAAATTTGATGTTAAGATCATCACATTCTAAGATCAAATGATTCAGATGTTATGGTATAACTGCGACAAATGAATTTTTACATTTTATGCTGACACTTGAAGAACAAGAGAGGGAGGTGATGCTGGATTCACTGCCTGATCTTGATCTTTGTTCTGAACTCACAGAACTGAATAAACTCAAACTACTGGAAGTACTGAAACTCTGGCTACTTGAGATACTTGAGCTGCTAGATTCTGATATGCTAGAACAGCTAGAGATAGTACTTGATTCGCTTGGAACAGAACCTGAAGATGAAGGATTAATTCAACAATGCTAGTATGTATCAAGTACTTTACAAATCTATGCACACATACACACACACACACACACACAAAAAAAAAAAAAAAGAAAAAAAAAAATGATGGAACTACAACTGTACAACGAATATTTACTTTTTATGCTGACACTTGAAGAGCAAGATAAGGATGACATGCTGGATCTGCTGTCTGATCTTGGTTCTAAGTCCCTTGAACTGATGCAACTTGGACTCAGGGAACTGAATAAACTCATACTACTGGAACTACTGAAACTTTGGCTACTTGAGCGACTGTAGAATGAGATACTTGAGCTGCTAGACTCTAATATTCTAGAACTGCTAGAGCAAATACTTGATCTACTTGAAATTGAACCTGAAGACAAAAAATTAATTCAAAATGCTAGCGTGCATCAAGTGAAAAAGCTCAAACTACAAATCAATATGTATATACTTCACTGGGAATACCTTTCTAATTAAGTGTCTCAGTTGCTGGAAAGCATACTTTTAAACTGAAACTATTATCTGGCTAACAAATGATGAAAGAAGGGAGACTACAGTTTAAGAAAGTTTTCAACTTCAACTTAATTAACGTAATAAATATAGATATTTGCAAACATTGTATAAGTATCATGTTTACAAAGATGAAATGATCATTACTTGCAATAGCCCCTAAAGAGGAAGATGGAGGCAAATTATTTGATTCTGAGCTCAAACTATTCTCTAAGCTGCTGGTGAAGCTTGGAGTGATAGGTGGAATGAGGCTTGAACTTATACTACTGAAGATGGAGAAACTTGGGCTTGTGGAGCTGCTTGATATTGAGTTATTTGAACCACTTGAGCATGGAAGGGCTGAATAACTTGGACTAAGACTGGGAATACCTGAAGCTGAACCTAAAAAAACATTATTGGAATTTTAAAGCTATGATAAAAAAGATGGTTCAACAATTAGGTACATTTAAGCATGAAAATATATTTTAAAATTAGATGTAAAAGGCATCACATTCTAAGAATACTAAGGACGTGCTGCAATGTAAATCAAATGATTCAGATGTAATGGTGTAGAACAGATGAATGAACATTTACTTTTTATGCTGACACTTGAAGAACAAGAGAGGGAGGAGATGCTGGATTCGCTGTCTGATCTTGATCCTAATTTTCCTGAACTCACAGAACTGAATAAACTCAAACTACTGCAACTACTGAAACTCTGGCTACTTGAACAATTGTAGAATGAGATACTTGAGCTGCTAGACTCTGATATGCTAGAACAGCTAGAGCTAATACTTGATCCGCTCGAAATTGAACCTGAAGATGGAAGGAAATAGACCAAAGAACTATATATCAAGTTGAAATAACAGCTGAAAATTTTGGACATATAAGAATGCATTGACATCTGATCATATGTTTGTCTCAGTAAAATTTTATAATGAATCATGACATTTATGGCTATTCATTTAATATTGTATCACAGTAGTGAAAGTGGACATTACTTATAGTGACACATGACGAAGTGGATGGAGATGAAATACCAGAGTTAGTGGAGTTTGAATTCATATAACTTGGGCAACTAGAGACTGAGCAGCTGGAGCAAGGACAACCTGAATAACTTGGACTTTGACTGGAACTGCTTGAAGCTACACCTGAAGGAAGACCTAAGTGGTCCAGTTTCAAAAACAGAAGTTCATAAGCCTAAAATACATATATATATCCATATATATGTATATATACATTTCTTTTTTATAGACAAATATAAAGCTAGTATATATCAAGTACTGAGGCTAAAACAACAGACTAAAAATCCATATCATAGTAAATGACTTATTTTGGTGAATTATTTGAAGGCTGTTGAAGACATCTAATGTTTTGAAAAAGTATGTATGAATGTCGAGACGATATACCATGTATTTGTGGCCAAGAATGGATGTTACTCATAGTGACACTTGAAGAACAAGATAATGATAAAGACTCGGACATCTGGAGCTACTAGAGAATGAAGTATCTTAATTACTGGAGCATTTGGATGGAATAACTTGACCCAAGATTGGAATGGTTAATGAATTAAACAAGTAAATATGCTAGACATCAAAGGTCATATCGCACTTACCAAGACTGGAAATACTACAGCATCAAAAACAAACAAACAAAAAAGTGTTTCAGTGTAAAAAGGGTATAACAGTATCTAAAACCTATTTACTTTTTATGCTGACACTTGAAGAACAAGACAGGGATGGAAGGCTGGATCTGCTGCTTGAGCTTGACTTCAGCTTCCCTGAACTGACACAGCTTGAATACTGAGAACTTATTAAACTCAAACTACTGGAACTACAGAAACTTTGGCTGCTTGAACAACTGTAGCTTGAGATACTTATGCTTCTAGACTCTGATAGACCGCTACAGCTAAGGCTAATACTTGATTCACTTGAAATTAGTCCTGAAGATAAAAATAAATGTCAGAATGTGGCAAAAGAACTAGTATATAGTTATATACTACATTGCAAACTGTATTGTAATTAGATGAAATATTAGCTAACTATAGGAAGATATAGAAAGAGATCTGAACCGGTTTTGAGCTTCACTGAAATCATGTAATAAATTTATAACAATTCCATTAAAATTATATTATAGTCAAAAGATATGAAAAAATTACTTCTGATGCCAATTGAAGAAAGAGAACTGCTTCTTGATTCTGAGCCTAAACTACTCTCTAAGCTGCTGATAGAGCTTGGATTGATGGATGGAATGATGCTTGAACTTATACTACTGAAGACTGATATACTTGAACTTCTGGAGCTACTCGAGATAGAGCTATTTGAGCTACTGGAGCATGGAAGAACTGAATAACTTGAACTACAACTGGAAATGCCTGATATCGAACCTAGAGGAAGAAGCGATATTAACATCATTAATTAACATCAAAAAGTTTCAGTAAAGAAAGAAAGAAAGAAAATCACGAACCTGCATTTTGTAGGTTAACAGAATGCGAATAAATTTTCACAGATATTTGCAGAGATAACTGAATAGTATACCGGAAAAGTTCTGTTTCTCAAGTATGTATCATTTATATATATTAGACATGAAGATTGTCATTACTTGCGATGGCACTTGAAGGGGAGGAAGGAGGTAAAATGCTGGAAATGCTACTTCTTTCTGAACTCGAGCTACTCTCTAAGCTACCGATAGAGCTTGGAGTGATAGAAGGGAGGCTGCTTGAACTATTTATACTACTGAAGACTGAGATACTTGAGCTTCTGGAGCTACTAGAGATAGAGCTGTTTGAGCTACTGGAGCAAGGAAGAACTGAGGAACTTGAACTACAACTGGAAATGCCTGATGCTGAACCTGGAGGAAGATGTGATATTGAAAACACCAAAAGAAAGAAAGAAAGAAAGAAAAAAAAAGAAAGGAAAAAAAAAAATAAAAAATCCTGAATCAGGAATTTCCCAAATATATGCAAAGCTATAAGTTGAGTAAACTGGAAAAGCTTAAAGTATTTCTCAAGTATATATCAACTATATATAATGGACATAAAGATTGCCATTACTTGTGACGGCACTTGAAGGGGAGGAAGGAGGTAAACTACTGGAAATGTTACTTGATTCTATGCTCTCTAAGCTGCTGATAGAGCTTGGACTGATGGATGGAATGAGGCTTGAACTTATACTACTGAAGACTGAGATACTTGAGCTTCTGGAGCTACTAGAGATAGAGCTATTTGAGCTACTGGAGCATGGAAGAACTGAGTAACTTGAACTACAACTGGAAATGCCTGAAGCTGAGCCTGGAGGAAGATGTGATATTGAAAACATCAAAAGAAAAAAAGAAAAAAGAAGAATCATGAACCTGCAAATTGTAAGTTTCAGTAAGAAAATATGATGATATATAATAGTAGTGTATACTGTAAAAGCCTGTGTTTCTCAAGTCTATATCAACTATGTATAATAGAAATTAAGACACTTGATAGATATCAAGACTGCCATTACTTGTGATGGCACTTGAAGGGAAGGAAGGAGGTAGAATACTGGAAATGCTACTTCTTTCTGAGCTTGAACTACTCTCTAAGCTGTTGATAGAGCTTGGTTTGATAGAAGGAGTGGTGCTTGAACTACTTATACTACTGAAGACTGAGATACTTGAGCTTCTGGAGCTACTAGAGATAGAGCTTTTTGAGCTACTGGAGCACGGAAGAATTGAATAACTTGAACTAAAACTGGAAATGCTTGAAGCTGAACCTGGAGGAAGATTTGATACTAAAGACTTCAATAAAAAAAACAGACAAACATGAACTTCCAATTTGTATGTTTCAGTTTAAATAATAGCATATTATACTGGAAAAACTAAAGCATTTCTCAAGTGTTTATCAACTATATATAAAAGACATTGAGACTGTCATTACTTGTAATGGCACTTGAAGAGAAGGAAGGAGGTAAAATGCTGGATATGCTACTTGATTCTAAGCTCGAACTACACTCTAAGCTGCTGATAGAGCTTGGACGGATAGAAGGATTGATGCTTGAACAACCTAAACTACTGAAGACTGAGATACTTGAGCTTCTGGAGCTACTAGAGATAGAGCTATTTGAGCTACTGGAGCATGGAAGAACTGAATAACTTGAACTACAACTGGAAATGCCTGATATCGAACCTAGAGGAAGAAGAGATGTTAGCAGAAAGAAAATTAAGAATGTGATTCCATTTTTGCAGATATTTGCAGAGATAATAGTATAATATACTAGAAAAGCTTGTTACTCAAGAATATATCAACTATATATAATGGACATGAAGCTTGCCATTACTTGTGATGGCACTTGAAGAGGAGGAAGGAGGTAAAAGGCTGGAAATGTTCTTTCTTTCTGAACTTGAACTACACTCTAAGCTACCTATAGAGCTTGGACTGATAGAAGGAAGGTTTCTTGAACTGTTTATACTACTGAAGACCGAGATACTTGAACTTCTGGAGCTACTAGAGATAGAGCTATTTGAGCTGCTGGAGCAAGGAAGAACTGAATAACTTGAACTAAAACTGGAAAGGCCTGATGTTGAACCTGGAGAAAGATGTGATATTGAAAACACCAAAAGAAAGAAAAAAAATAATCATGAATCTACAATTTGTAAGTTTCAGTAAGAAAGTATAATTTCCCAGATATATGCAGAAATAAAAGTAGAGTAAACTGGAAAAACTTAAGTGTTTCTCAAGTATGTATCAACTATGTATAATGTACATCAATATTGTCATTACTTATGATGGCACTTGAAGGGGAGGAAGGAGGTAAACTACTGGAAATGCTTCTTGATTCTGAGCTCAAACTACTTCCTAAGCTGCTGATAGAGCTTGGACTGACTGAAGAAAAGCTGCTTGAACTGTTTATATTACTGAAGACTGAGATACTTGAGCTTCTGGAGCTACTAGACATAGAACTATTTGAGCTACTGGAACATGGAAGAATTGAAGAACTTGAACTAAAACTGGAAATGCTTGAAGCTGAACCTGGTAGGAAGATTTGATATTAAAGACCAATTAAAAAAAAAAGAAACAAACATGAACTTACAATTTGTATGTTTCAGTGAAAAAAATGGTAGAGGTAATAGTATGATATACTGGAAAAGCTTAAGTGTTTCTCAGGTATATATCCGCTATACTCGTATATGATAGACATGAAAACTGTCATAACTTGTGCACTTGAAGAGGAGGAAGGAGGTAAAATACTCAAACTACTCTCTAAGCTGCTGATAGAGCTTGGACTAATAGAAGGAATAATGCTAGAACTATTCATACTACTGAAGACTGACATACTTGAGCTTCTGGAGCTACTAGACATAGAGCTATTTGAGCTACTGGAACATGGAAGAATTGAATAACTTGAACTACAACTGGAAATGCCTGATGCTGAACCTGGAGGAAGATGTGATATTGAAAACATCAAAAGAAAGAAGGAAAAGATGTGAACCTACAATTTGTAAGTTTCAGTATGCGAATATATTCTCACAGATATATGCAGAAATGACATACTGGAAAAGTGTTTCTCAAGTATATAACAACTACATACAATAGACATTAACACTGTCATTACTTGCGATGGCACTTGAAGGGGAGGAAGGAAGTGAAATGCTGGAAATGCTACTTGATTCTGAGCTCAAACTACTCTCTAAGCTGCTGATAGAGCTTGGACTGATAGAAGGAATGATGCTTGAACAACCTATACTACTGAAAATTGAGATACTTGAGCTTCTGGAGCTACTCGGGATAGAGCTATTTGAGCTACTGGAGCATGGAAGAACTGAATAACTTGAACTAAAACTGGAAATGCTTGATGCTGAACCTGGTGGAAGAAGTGATATGAAGAGCACCAAAAGAAAGAACCAGACAATTTGTAAGTTTCAGTTGGCAAATACGTTTTTGCAGGTATCTGCAGATATAACAGTATAGTTTGCTGGAAAGATGAACTGTTTAACAAGGATTTCTCAATTATATTTAATGGACATGAAACTGTCATTACTTGTGATATCACTTGAAGAAGGAGGTAAACTACTGGAAATGCTACTTGATTCTGAGCTCAAACTACTCTCTAAGCTGCTGATAGAGCTTGGATAGAAGGAATGCTGCTTGAACAACCTATACTACTGAAGACTGATATACTTGAGCTTCTGGAGCTACTAGAGATTGAGCTTTTTGAGCTACTGGAGCATGGAAGAATTGATGAGCTTGAACTAAAACTGGAAATGTCTGAAGCTGAACCTACAGGAAAAAATTATGTTAACAGCATCAAAAGAATGAAAGAAAATGTGAATGTAAAAATTGTAAATTTCAGTATGAGAATATATGTAGAACACTCAAAAAACTTGTGCTTCTCAGGTATAATTAACAAGAAGATTGTCATTACCTGTTATGGCACTTAAAGAAGAAGAAGGAGGTAAGATGCTGGAAATGCTACTTCTTTCTGAGCTCGAACTACTCTGTAAGCTGCTGATAGAGCTTGAACTGATAGAAGGATTGATGCTTGAACAACACATACTACTGGAGACTGAGATACTTGAGCTTCTGGAGCTACTAGAGATAAAGCTATTCAAGCTACAGGAACATGGAAGTGAATAACTTGAACTAAAACTGGAAATGCCTGATGTTGAACCTAAAGGAAGTGACATCAAGAGCATCAAAAGAAAGAAAGAAAAAAAACGTGAACCTTACACTAGTAAGTTTAAGTATGCGAATACATTTTCTCAGATATTTGCAAAGAGACAATATATGATATACTGGAAAAGCATAAGTGTTTCTCAAATATAAATCAACTACATATAATAGACATTAAAACTCTCATTACTTGTGATGGCACTTGAAGAGGAGGACGGAAGTAAACTACTGGAAATGCTACTTCTTTCTGAGCTCGAACTACTCTCTAAGCTGCTGATAGAGCTTGGACTGATAGAAGGAATGATGCTTGAACTACTTATACCGCTGGAGAGTGATATACTAGAACTTCTGGAGCTACTCAAGATAGAGCTATTTGAGCTACTGGAGCACGGAAGAACTGAATAACTTGAACTACAACTGGAAATACCAGATATCGAACCTAGAGCAAGAAGTGATATTAGCAGCATTAATAGAAAGGAAAAAAAAAGTTCCAGTAAAGAAAGAAAGAAGAAATACAATACAATTCATAGGTTATCAGAATGAGAATACATTTTCACAGATATTTTCAGAGTTAATAGAATAGTATATAGGAAAATTTCAATGTTTCTCAAGTATGTATCGACTATATGTAATAGACATGAAGATCGTCATTACTTGTAATGGCACTTGAAGGGGAGGAAGGAGGTAAAATGCTGGAAATGCTACTTGTTTCTGAACTCGAGCTACTCTCTAAGCTACCTATAGAACTTGGACTGATAGAAGGAAGGCTTCTTGAACTGTTTATAATACTGAAGACTGATATACTTGAGCTTCTGGAGCTACTAGAGATAGAGCTGTTTGAGCTACTGGAGCACGGAAGAACAGAATAACTTGAACTAAAATTGGAAATGCTTGATGCTGAACCTAGAGGAAGATGTGATGAAAACATCAAAAGAAAGAAGAAAAGAATCATGAATCTGCAATTTTAAGTTTCAGCAAGAAAATATATTTTCCCAGATATATGTAGAAATAGTATAGCATACTGCTTAAGCTTAAGTTATATAATGGATATAGAGATTGTTATTACTTGCGATGGTACTTGAAGGGGAGAAAGGATTTGAAATACTGGAAATGCTGCTTGATTTTGAGCTTGAACTACTCTCTAAGCTGCTGATAAAGCTTGGACTGATAGAAGGAAGGCTGCTTGAGATACTTAAGCTTCTGGAGCTACTAGAGATAAAGCTATTTAAGCTACTGGAGCACAGAAGAACTGAATAACTTGAACTACAACTGGAAATGCCTGATATTGAACCTAGAGGAAGAAATTATATCAACGGCATTAATAGAAAGAAAGAAGATAATGGTAGAGTATACTAGAAAAACTGAAGTGTTTCTCAAGTAAATTCCATCTATACATGATTGACATGAAGATTGTCTTTACTTATGATGGCAGCTGAAGGGGAGGAAGGAGGTAAAATGCTGGAAATGCTACTTCTTTCTGAGCTCGAACTAGTCTCTAAGCTGCTGATAGAGCTTGAACTGATAGAAGGAATGATGCTTGAACAACCTATACTACTGAAGACTGAGATACTTGAGCTTCTGGAGCTACTAGAGATAGAGCTATTTGAGCTACTGGAGCATGGAAGAACTGAGGAACTTGAACTACAACTGGAAATGCCTGATGCTGAACCTGGAGGAAGATGTGATATTCAAAACACCAAAAGAAAGAAAGAAAAAAAGAATAATGAACCTACAACGTTTAAGTTTCAGTAAGAAAATATATTTCCACACATCTATTCAGCAATAATAATATAGCATACTGGAAAAGCTGTTTCTCAACTATATATAATGGACATAAAGATTGTCATTACTTATGATGGCACTTGAAAGGGAAGGAGGTAAACTACTGGAAATGCTTCTTGATTCTGAGCTCAAACTGCTTTCTAAGTTGCTAATAGAGCTTGGACTGATAGGAGGAAGGCTGCTTGAACTAATTATACTACTGAAGACTGAGATACTTGAGCTTCTGGAGCTACCAGAGATAGAGCTATTTGAGCTACTGGAGCATGGAAGAACTGAATAACTTGAACTAAAACTGGAAATGCTTGATTTCGAACCTACAGGAAGAAATGATATTAGCAGAAAGGAAAAAAGTTTCAGTATGTGATTACATTTCTGTAGAAATTTACAGAGATAATAGTATAGTATACTGGAAAACGCTGTCTCAAGTATATTTCAACCATATATAATTGACATGAAGATTGTCTTTACTTGTGGTGGCACTTGAAGGGGAGGAAGGAGGTAAAATGCTGGAAATGCTACTTCTTTCTGAACTCAAACTACACTCTAAGCTGCTGATAGAGCTTGGACTGATAGAAGGAATGATGGTTACGACACTTGTGCTTCTAGAGATAAAACTATTTGAACTACTGGAGCACGGGAGAACTGAATAACTTGAACTAAAACTGGAAATGCCTGATATCGAACCTAGAGGTAGAAGTGATATTAATAGCATCAAAAGAAAGAAAAACATATATGAGCCTACAATTTGTTTCAGTATGTGAATAGATATTTACAGACATTAGCAGGTATAACAGTGTAATATACAGGAAAAGCTAAACTGTGTCTCAAATATATTTCAACTATATATAATGGATATGAAAACTCTCATTACTTGTGATGGCACTTGAAGGGGAGGAAGGAGGTAAAATACTGGAAACGATACATGATTCTGAGCTCGAACTATGATCTAAGCTGCTGATAGACCTTAGACTGATAGATGGAGAGATGATGGTGGCTGAAGCTAAAACCGATACTGATGAGCTCGAACTATGATCTAAGCTGCTGATAGACCTTAGACTGATAGATGGAATGATGCTTGAACAACTTCCACAACTGAATACTGATATACTTGAACTTCTGGAGCTACTAGGGATAGAACTGTTTGAGCTACTGGAGCATGGAACAACTGAATAACTTGAACTACAACTGGAAATTCCTGATGCTGAACCTGAAGGAAGAAATGATATCAACAGCATTGAAAAAGAAGAAGGAAAAAACATAAACCTAAAATGTGTAAGTTTCAGCAGATATTTGCAGAGACAATAGTATAATATACTGGAAAAGCTAAGTGTTTCTCAAGTATATATCAACTATACATTACAGACATTTGAGACTGGCTTTACTTGTAATGACTCTTGAAGGGGAGGAAGGAGCCATACTGGAAACACTACTTGATTCTGAACTCAAACTACTCTGTAAGCCGCTGATAGAGCTTGGACTGATAGAAGGAATGATGCTTGAACAACCTATACTACTGAAGACTGAGATACTTGAGCTTCTGGAGCTACTTGGGATAGAGCTAGTTGAGCTACTGGAGCATGGAAGAACTGAGTAACTTGAACTACAACTGGAAATGCCAGGTATAGAACCTAGAAGAAGAGGTGATATCAACATCATCTATAGAAAAAAAAAAAAAGTATGCGAATACATCTTCACCGATATTTACATTATAATGGAAAAGCATGTGTTATTCAAGTATATATCAGCTATACATAATGGAAATGATTGTCATTACTTGTGGTAGTACTTGAAGGAGAGGAAGGAGATAAACTACAGGAAATGCTAGTTCTTTCAGAGCTCAAACTACACTCTAAGCCGCTGATAGAGCTTGGACTGATAGATGGAATGATGCTTGAACAACCTATACTACTGAAGACTGAGATGCTTGAGCTTCTGGAGCTACTAGAGATAGAGCTATTTGAGCTACTGGAGCATGGAAGAACTGAATAACTTGAACTAAAACTGGAAATGCCTGATGCTGAACCTGGAGGAAGATGTGATGTTGAGAACATTAAAAGATAGAAAAAAAGAATAATGAACCTACAATTTGTAAGTTTCAGTAAGAAAATATATTTCCACAGATATATGCAGTGATAACAGTATAGTATACTGGAAAAACTGTTTCTCAAGTATATATCAACTATGTAAAATGGACATAAAGTTTGTCAATACTTGTGATGGCACTTGAAGGGGAGGAAGGAGGTAAACTACAGGAAATGCTACATCTTTCTGAGCTCGAACTACTCTCTAAGCTGCTGATAGAACATGGACTGATAGAAGGAGGGCTGCTTGAACTGTTTATATTACTGAAGACGGAGATACTTGAGCTTTTGGATATACTAGAGATAGAGCTATTTGAGCTACTGGAGCACGGAAGAATTGAAGAGCTTGAACGAAAACTGGAAATTTCTGAAGCTGAACCTGGAGGAAGATTTGATATTAAAGAAAAAAAAAAAAAAAAAAAAAAAAAAAGTGAACTTACAATTTGTATGTTTTTTTCAGATTTGCAGAGATAATAGCATAGTATACTAGAAAAGCGAAAGTGTTTTTCAAGTGTATATCAACTATATATAAAAGACATTGAAATTGTCATTACTTCTGATGGCACTTGAAGAGGAGGAAGGAGGTAAAATACTGGAAATGCTTCTTGATTCTGAGCTCAAACTACTTTCTAAGCTGCTGATAGAGCTTGATCTGATAGAAGGAATGCTGCTTGAACAACCTATACTACTGAAGACTGAGATACTTGAGCTTCTGGAGCTACTAAAGATAGAGCTATTTGAGCTACTGGAGCACGGAAGAACTGAATAACTTGAACTACAACTGGAAATGCCTGATATCGAACCTAGAGGAAGAAGTGATATTAACAGCATTAATAGAAAAAAAGTTTTAGTAAAGAAAGAAATAAAGAAAAGAATCATGAACCTACATATTGTAGGTAACAGAATGAGAATACATTTTCACAGATATTTACAGAGATAATAGAATAGTATACTGAAAAAGTTTAATATTTCTCAAATATGTATCAACTATATGTAATAGACATGGAGATTGTCATTACTTGTGATGACACTTGAAGAGGAGGAAGGAGGTAAACTATTGGAAATGCTACTTCTTTCTGAGCTCGAACTACTCTCTGAGCTGCTAATAGAGCTTGGAGTGATAGAAGGAATGATGCTTGAACAACCTATACTACTGAAGACTGAGATACTTGAGCTTCTGGAGCTACTAGAGATAGAGCTTTTTGAGCTGCTGGAGCACGGAAGAATTGAAGAACTTGAGCTATTTGAGCTACTGGAGCATGGAACTGAACAACTTGAACTAAAACTGGAAATGCCTGATGCTGAACCTGGAGAAAGATGTGATATTGAAACATTAAAAGAAAGAAAGAAAAAAAGAATCATGAACCTACCTACAAGTTTCAGTAAGAAAAAATATTTCCACAGACATATGCAGCTATAACTAAAGTATACTGGAAAAGCTGTTTGTCAAGTATATATCAACCATGTAAATTGGACATAAAGATTGTCAATACTTGTGATGGCACTTGAAGGGGAGGAAGGAGGTAAAATACTGGAACTACTCTCTAAGCTGCTGATAGAGCTTGAACTGATAGAAGGAATGATGCTTGAACAACCTATTCTACTGAAGACTGAGATACTTGAGCTTCTGGAGCTACTAGAGATAGAGCTATTTGAGCTACTGGAGCATGGAAGAACTGAATAACTTGAACTGGAAATGCGTGATGTTGAACCTGGAAGAAGTGATATTAACAACAAAGATGTGAACCTACAATTCGTAAGTTTTAGTATGCGAATGCATTTTCACAGATTTATGCAGAGACAACAGTATTACATACAGGAAAAGCTGTAGTGTTTTCAAGTATATATCAACTATAAATGATAGATATCAGGATTGTCATTACTTGTGATGGCACTTGAAGGGGAGGAAGGAGGTAAACTACTGGAAATGCTACTTCTTTCTGAGCTCGAACTACTCTCTAAGCTGCTGATAGAACATGGACTGATAGAAGGAAGGCTGCTTGAACTGTTTATATTACTGAAGACGGAGATACTTGAGCTTTTAGAGATACTAGAGATAGAGCTATCTGAACTACTGGAGCACAGAAGAATTGAAGAACTTGAACTAAAACTGGAAATTCCTGAAGCTGAACCTGGAGGAAGATTTGATATTAAAGACCAATAAAAAAGAAGAAGAAGAGGCAAACATGAACTTACAATTTATATGTTTTTTTCAGATTTGTAGAGATAATAGCATAGTATACTGGAAAAGCGAAAGTGTTTTTCAAGTGTATATCAACTATATATAAAAGACATTGGATCTGTCATTACTTCTGATGGCACTTGAAGAGGAGGAAGGAGGTAAACTACTGGAAATGCTACTTCTTTCTGAGCTCAAACTACTCTCTAAGCTGCTGATAGAGCTTGGACTGATAGAAGGATTGATGCTTGAACAACCTAAACTACTGAAGACTGAGATACTTGAGCTTATAGATCTGTTTGAGCTACTGGAGCATGGAAGAACAGAATAACTTGAACTAAAACTGGAAATGCCTGATGCTGAACCTGGAGGAAGATGTGATGATGAAAACATCAAAAGAAAGAAAAAGAAAAAAAGAATCATGAACCAGCAATTTGGAAGTTTCAGTAAGAAAATAATTCACAGATATATGAAGGAGATGATAATATTGTATACTGGAAAAGCTTAAGTGTTTCTCAAGTATATATCAACTATGTATAATGGACATAAAAATTGTCATTACTTGTGATGGCACTTGAAGGGGCGGAAGGAGATAAACTACTGGAAATGCTACTTGATTCTGAGCTCAAACTGCTTTCTAAGCTGCTGATCGAGCTTGGACTGATAGAAGGAATGATGCTTGAACAACCTATACTACTGAAGACTGAGATACTTGAGCTTCTGGAGCTACTCGGGATAGAGCTATTTGAGCTACTGGAGCATGGAAGAACTGAGTAACTTGAACTACAACTGGAAATGCCAGGTATAGAACCTAGAAGAAGAGGTGATATCAACATCATTTATAGGAAAAAAAAAAAAAAAAGTATGCGAATACATCTTCACCGATATTTACATTATAATGGAAAAGCATGTGTTATTCAAGTATATATCAGCTATACATAATGGAAATGATTGTCATTACTTGTGGTAGCACTTGAAGAGGAGGAAGGAGATAAACTACAGGAAGTGCTAGTTCTTTCGGAGCTCAAACTACACTCTAAGCCGCTGATAGAGCTTGGACTGATAGATGGAATGATGCTTGAACAACCTATACTACTGAAGACTGAGATACTTGAGCTTCTGGAGCTACTAGAGATAGAGCTATTTGAGCTACTGGAGCATGGAAGAACTGAATAACTTGAACTAAAACTGGAAATGCCTGATATCGAACCTAGAGGAAGAAGTGATATTAACAGCATCAAAAGAAAGAAAGAAAAACATATATGAGCCTTCAATTCGTGTTTCAGTATGTGAATATATATTTCATAGATATATGTAGAGATAACACTACAATATACTGGAAAAGTTAAACTGCTTTTCAAATATATATCAGCTATATATAATGGACATGAAATCTCTCATTACTTGTGATGGAAGGGGGTAAATTACTGGAAATGCTACTTGATTCTGAGCTCAAACTGCTTTCTAAGCTGCTGATAGAGCTTGGACTGAGAGAAGGAATGATGCTTGAACAACTTGTACTACTGAAGATTGAGATACTTGAGCTTCTGGAGCTACTAGGGATAAAACTGTCTGAGCTACTGCAGCACGGAAGAGCTGAATAACTTGAGCTACAACTGGAAATGCCAGATGTTGAACCTAGAGGAAGAGGTGATACCAATATCATTTATATTACACCATGAGACAAGGCTTACCTCTAACAGAACTCTGATACCATAACCTAGGGTGCTCAAGAGTTTGGAGCTCGATATATAAGGAAAAATAGAAATTCTTAAAACCTTTGAAAGTGAACATGGGTAAAGAAATTTTACTTCTCAGACTTTGGTACTTAAATAGATATGCACAAAGTGTGTGGTAAGATGTAAAGAATTGGCAGTTATAAGAATGCCACAGAAATATAATCCATTGATACCAGAAGGTAATTTAAGGATGAAATATTGTAATGGATGTTATAGGTAATCTCAAGTGGTTGTTTAATGAAATTATATTTATTTCTTGAGTTTTATGAAGAGTTCTGTGTACGGTTCTGTGTGACAGGAAATGGATGGTGATGGCAGGAGGATATAAGAACTGAAGTTTGCTGTAAATTGTTGTTTGTGTTGAAAATGAAAGTATGGCTGAAATGTATATGAACATGTAAATATGGTTGATGTTATCCAAAGTAGTGAAAAAGGGTACCTGAATGAAAACTATCTTCAGAATAATACTGACTTCCCGATATCATAATTATACATATATGTGTCTATATTCTTAAAACATGAATAAAGAATGCTAGAGAATAATCTTTTGTTCTAGACTCCCTGAACTTCTATAACGCAACATATATTATCTATTGAAGACCAGTATACTTGAGCTTCTTCCTCTTGAGCCACAAGGCAAATTTAAGCTAAATATATTTGAAATATGCAAACTTGCATATAATAATATCAACATGGGGTAATTAGTAAAAATGGAAAATGAAAAGTTTTTTGCAGTATGTGAGCACTGAAATTCAAAACTTTCTGTGCTAATGTTCTTCACTCATCCCAGGTACTTCACTATAACAATGATGTCTTCACTCGCTTCATAATGCATAAATTTCAAAATAATGCATGACTATAACATCTTCAGCTACTTGTCTTCTAAGAATTGTCGGGTCTTGAATTCCTTCATCGTGTTGTAGGGAATCATGGAACCTGCTTATCAAATACTAATGCTTACCTGCATGTAAAATGCAAGTTGTAATACATGCCTTGCTACACTTCTGATGGGGGTAGCACTTCAGAAGTAAACAAATAAATAACATTGTAAGTGAGAAAAAAAA